CTACATTATTTTAAGAGTGGATGGGTGGCGCAGTTGTTGTCGGCCTTCTGAGCCCAAGTCTGCGGGTTCGATCCCCGACCCAGACAGATTTTCGGGATGCAGAAAATCCTCAGCGGCTATGTCGTATGATTATGCGGCATGTAAAAGATCTCTGGAGTGCCTTATTGGCTCTTGGCATTTCCTCCCAAATTAAATTCCTAGTGCACTTTAGCATCCAAATAGAGTCTCGGTGCCGCCATCTAGTATGGCAGAAACTAGACATCCAAATTTACATGGCCAACGGTATCTCACCCATTGTGGTGGTCCTGAAAGATTAGATACCACATCTGGAGAACGTAAAAGGTCTGCTCATCGAGAAGACTGATTGTGCAGCTCATAGGAATTTTAAAAAAAAAAAAAACATTATTTTAAGATAATGAAATCATAGCTCCCTATATTTTGTATTTTTTTAAACTTTTAAATCAATATCAAACTTTTTAAATCGTTTTAACATCTAGAAAGTTTTATTAAGGAATATTATTTCTAGTTAAATACAATCCTATTTTCTAATGAATGATGTTTAACATGACAAAGAAATATTGAAAATATGTATCTCTAAAATAACGGAGTGAGATAAATTCGTTTGTATGTATAAGTGGCGTTTTCCTCAGGGTGCTTGTAAAAAACTCATTCCAAGCGCATCAATGGTTTATCTATTGATCATGTCGCATAGATAAATCACAAGCTAGATTAGCTTCATATACCAGGGATAACATCATTTGTTGCAAAGAAAATTAAGTTAATTCAGCATGAATACTTTTACTTATACTTCTGCGCTTTTACATATCTTGATAGAGTCAACATGTTTTAATAGTAATTCAAATTAGCTACTACATTGAATTTTTAGAGTTACAGAAAAGAATTATTTTCTGAAAACTACTCATAAAAAACATATACACTTCTTATTAAAAACATACAAAATATTTCGAGTTGTCATTATAAAACTAGTTATAAATTAAAATAATGAATTTATTAAAATAGAATTTGAATTATTATTAAATCAGATAAATTTCTATTTTAGTTTAGTTAAATAGGTTTGTTTACGAAATTATTTGATTTTATGGTGCATTTTGGACAGATTGTGAAATTAATTAGTTCAGTGAGTCGATTTTGCAAAACGGAAACACTTAATGAAGTAGTCGCAAAGAGTTACTCACACATTTTGTTCACAGGAATGCTATACTTTAAATAAGTTTTTTAGATTAATATTACACTTTCTTATGCCGGCCAGGTGACCGAGCGGTTAGCGCGCCTGACTGAGAAGCCAATGGCTGCGGGTTCGAATCCCGCTCTGGGAATGGGAATGGTAGACTATTCTCACTCTTGTGTTGTCCTCTGTTGTGCGTGATGAGTGAATGTAGCCCACCCTATGAACGGGTTTGTGGCAGTGTGGCGTGGGCAATGTTACTCGTCTCCGTGACTTTGGTTCACAGGTGCCCACTGGGTAACGCAAAATGAGTAACAACTCTGGCATCTTCTAAGGCAGGGGTAGACAACGCGGCGCCCGCGGGCGCCATGGCGCCCTTGATCGATTTTTAATGCGCCCTCGCTGGACTAATGTAAATGTATGATAGCCAGAGTGATTTACTTAACTCTTGTCAAACGGCGATATACAGCAAGTAGTCAGTTGAGTTTAGGATTGTGCATGATTATCTGTAAAATATGCGCCCTCGGTGATTTTCAAATTTAGTATTGCGCCCTTAAGGACAAACAGGTTGCCGACCCCTGTTCTAAGCCGAAACGAATAAAGTTCAGTGCCTGCCATTCGAAAAAAAACACTTTCTTATTGGCATTATATTTATATAGCTTACTTTCCACAATATCGTCTAATACATTTAATATATTGATGAGTATTTCAATATTTAGAGGGCTATTTTATAATTCTAAAATAGTTTATTTCATGCGACTTTCTATACTATACTTTACAGCTTTCAGAGGTTTCAGAGATCAGAAATAAATTACGAAAGAAAAAAATATTTTTGAACACCCTATACCAGAAAATAAAGTTACAAAAATTGCAACTTGTGTAGACTATTTTCGTTTGTATTTGCAATAACTTCATAAAATTTCGTATATCTAGCTTATATATGTTAGTAAATAAGAAAATTTTTAGACAAAAAAAATTTTTTTTGTCTAAAAATGCAATAAAATTTTTCTAAAATTTTTGAAATATTCAGGTTGGGGTCCCCTTTTAAAAGATTTCAAGCAATTTTTAGCAGTTTTTGTACTTTTTAAAAGTAAGCTCAAAACGATAAATGATTTTCTACACATTTAATGATGTTCTAACTGTGAGGTTAATATAAGGCAGTGTAATTTGCAATAATGCTTAATAATATTTGTGGAAGACCCCTAATCATTTTGAGCTGTTTTTAAAAAGTACAGAAACTGCTTCGAAAATTTCTTGAAACTTTGCATGTTTTTAAGATGTTTAAATCAAATTTAGTTGCCATATACGATTCCCTACAAAGTTCCGAAAATATAATTTCAAATTTTTTCCCATGCTTGCTCAGTATAAAAGACTACTATAAATACTCATATCTTGAGCATTCTTCAATATTTTTTTTAAATTTTAAAACAATATATTTGAATTTAATTTTGAGTTGCTCCAAAACTTTTATTTTTTTTTGCTGAATACATTTATAGCAAAAATATAAGACAAATTTTTCTTTATAAAAATGTTCATATTTCCATAAATATTTAAGCTAGATTTACGAAATGCTTAGCAGTTATTCCAAATTGTAACCAAAGTAATCGGTACTAGTTACGCGTTTATTGCTGGGCTTTCTGGTATAAAGCGTTCAAAAATACTTGTTTTCGTGTGTAATATTTTGTCTGTCTTTAAACCTCTGAGTGTTTTAAGTATGAAAAATTGCAAAAATTGCATTTCTAAAGTTTCACAATAGTCTTCTTAGTATTTCTTGCGAAGTTAAAAAAATATCAAAAACTGAAAGTGTCTCTTTCATTATTGTAAAACAGTGTATAAAGAAAAAACAACAAAAAAATTTATCTTCTAAAAATAAATTAATACACAAAACTATAAACTCGGTTACTTTTTGCTATGCCTACATTTAAAGAAAAATGCTACTATGCCAAAAAATAAGAAATGCAACTATCTTTTTCCTCTATCATACTTCAACTACTTAACGTTATCTGATTAATTTATATTTCACATTATTATGTTTAAACCAATAAAACAAATATTCAAGTCCTACAAACAAATAAGAAACAAAAATTAAAAATTATACAAATTTAGTAATAGCATTTTATCCTAGATACGCAAATAATAATTCAAAATCACCGTAGAAAGTTTTGCGGTAAATTATTTACATTTAGAAATGAAACTTGTTTAAAGTCACCGTAAACAAGCAAACACCGCAAAAGTATTTTTAGTCAAAGAGTTCTAACTTGAAGTCGAATATTCATCTCCTTGCGAATTTCACCGCAATACAAAAGCGCGTCTTTTTCTTCCCCTTAATCTAGCTTCCGAAAGTTTATGCTTTCTTAGCAAAGCATAAGTCAACAATGCGGTGAAGGCAGTTTTACATTTGTGTTTGAGCATTATTCTCAATTTCGTTTCACACTATACAATGTAAAAAATTGCGGATAAATTTTCAGTACATAGTACAAACAGTTTGGGTCTATCCCTGTCTGTAAAATAAAATTTTATCGTAAACCGTATTTTTACAGTTATTTTACCGTAATTATACCGTTATTATACCGTTATTTTTGCAGTTATATTTATTTAATTAATGTCGATCAGTGACTTTACGGTAATTATTACAATAAAATTATAGAGTAACAGTAACATGTTTTGGTAAAAATGGATTTTTTGGTTTAAAGTATCGGTATTCTGAGTGACTCCACTTTTTTACGGCGAACATAATTTTACACACATACATAATTTTACATAATTTTTTACAGCGAACATTCGCTTAGCTGCTCATAATGTACATTTGTATATAATGTACATTCTCTTAGCTGCACATTTGCTTCAGTATTCAACAAAATACGATAAAAATATGAAGACAAAAAGAAATATAAAAAATTATTGTAATGTAAGCAAACAATAGATATTTTTTAAATAATCAATCTTTAATAGATTTTTAATATAATCGGAAAAAAAATGAAGTTAAAAAATAGCAATTAAAGAATATTTAATTCATTCAAGAAATTATTTCACGAATATAGCCGCAATTCATTAAGTATTGTATATGCCTTAATATTTCAAGCATTTTTATAAATATTTTTAATTTTTAAATTGTAGAAATATTTGTTAGCCTATGAACCTAATCATAAAATTTTTACTTTTCGAAAGTTTTGGTAATAAAAAAGTTTTTTTATTATTTTTTTAATCCTTTTTAAATATTTAACATAATAGATTTAATTGTTTCGGTAATGATATCATTCAATGAATAATTATCTAATTATTTAAAAAAAATTCTTTCAATTAATTAAAGAATCTCTCATTCGAAATTCTTATAAATATTCTCCTGNATTTTAATTAGTTTATAAGTATGACTATTTCATATATATATATATATATATATATATATATTTATAATATTTGAAGAAAAAAAGAAAGGTATGAGATATAATTATATTGCAGAATCATGGAACCAAAGAAAACCGAACTACTCTCATCAGCATCATGAAGTCGCGAAAACTAGAAACTTATTCAAATGTATGCTAATATATACCATTAATAATTCCGTCAAAATGATACAAAATATTTCTCGAAAAAGATTTCAATGAGAAACTAGCAGCGGATCAAAGAGAAACTTCAAAAGATTGGAGAGAGAGAGAGAAAAAAAAAATGGGAATTGTTTTGTTTACTTTTTCCCTTCACCTTAACTGTGGCTTTCTCCTCCTCACATGCAAGCTATTCTCTGTCCTTATTTTGAGTGAATGGTCCTAGTGATTGCACGCATGCGGCCAGAGATAGAGGGCGCCACAAAGCATCTTTTTCAAAGTCCTTCCAATTCAAATGGCGCTCCGATATCAGAGAGTGCGGACGTTTTCAAAGTTTGTCATCCGCGGATTTATAGTGCGTTAGATAAGCCATGGATTGTTCTTTCTCATTGTTCCTTCTGTTTTGGATTACAAGTGCCTATTACTCGAAAGGTAGACAATTCGAAAATTAATATTTTTGTACATAAATTTTAAAATTAGGAATGTTTTATTATAACAAAAATATTTTAAATTTTAGGAGTATTGATTATAAAATTATGCTTATTTTCAGTTAAAAGAAGAAAAATCTCGTCGAATAAGAAAAAAAGAATCTTTAACTTTTTTTTCAAATTTAAGTAGAATTACAAATGGTATGAATTCTAACAATTTATAATTGAACAAGAAGAACCCGAACAGAAAGAATCCCAAACACTAAATAGTAATTATGCGTATAAAAAAAAATATATATCACTATTACTCTAAAGGTAAAAATTTCAGAAATTAATATTTGTGTACATAAATTTTTAAATAAGTAATGTTTTATTCAAAAACAATATTCAATACTTTTTGCAGCCATCTTTTAAACACATAATTATGTTCATTTTCAACTAAAGGAGTAAATTACTCGTCTAACGAAAAACATTTAAAAAGAATATTTCAATTAACGATAAACTACCAATTGAACTAAATTCCAACTATTAATAAATTGAACAAATATATGATAGAGTTTTTAAATTAAATATAATATGGTAAACTGAAAACAAAAAGTTTATTGTCCATATGACTGGGTGAGACAACATATTATAATATAAACTTAAATAGCTGAATTTTTTTTTTCAAATTGTTTGCGCATGGTAAGCGATTTGTTTACAAAATTCATCGTTTCAGCCACGGTGGCTTAGGCGATAGAGATCTCACCTTCCACTGACCTAGGTTCAATCCTATCTTTGGCTGGTATAATCAAATTCTGCTCCCAGTTCGCAACAACCACAGTACTGACATAGAAATATCCTCAGTGTTAGACGGATCTTGGGTTAAAATCACTTTGTCGTCAGGCTGACCATGAGAGGTTTTCGGGATTTTCGGCTTCAGGTAACGCAATTGCGGTTTAATTCCTTCAAAAAAAAATAAGCCAAGAATTTAAGTTTGTCCCTTTGCTTAATTCAGGAATCCCCTTGTCTTCAGAATCAAGTACAAGGCTAAGGACTGAACATTAGTAGTTGTAAGCTCAGAATTGAGTCAGCTGTTCAACGCCGGTTATAAAATAAAACGGTTATAAAATAAAATTTATTTCTAATTACAAAAATTATTCAAATGTTATTTATTTTTTGTTCAATATATCTAGTTTGATGAACAGTTCAAAACTTTATTATTTGTTTTATTTTCTGATTCAATAAACGAGATCTACCTCTGCATATAGTATGGTAAATCATTTTATAGAATATTTTTGGATACATTAATATTGTAAACGAAAACAACGATAACAGAATTTTCACCTCAAACGATATCCTTATTATGGGTAAAAAATGTCGCTTGATTTCGGAAAAATACAAATGGAAGCAAGTCATTTAAAAGGTTTGAACTTTATAAAACTTGTGAACTTAAAATTCAGTTTTTGTATATACTAATAAAATTTATTTTAAGATTATCTAATTTGCAGAAAAAGTAGATGAGGAGAAATTGTACTTAAATTAGTTACACGGAGAACAAAATTCTGGTAAAATTATCGTACTTCAATGGTAATGATATTTTTGGTAAAAGAAAACCTACCTTAATTCTGGTATTTAAATCAAAATGTAAAGTATTTAACTCGTTCATTAAGTACTTTTTTCTGTTTATACGGTAACTGTTCACAAAATCTGCTAGTTTTTAAGGTAACAGTTCTTATTACCACACATTATGCTAAAAATACAAAACTGTAGCTCAAATGTAACCGTATAAATTGTTATCATGTTATGCTCTAAGTTATCATAATAATATTACTAAATTTTAACATTTATAATAAAATAATATTTATTTGAAATCATTAGGATCATCCTGACATACTTGAAAATCATAAGTATGTCCGGCGTTCAGGAAACTAAAATACATTCCATTTCTTAATCTTCTCTAAATTATAACGTGTTGAACATTTTCCCCTTTCATTTTTAATTAACGGGAGTAAAATGTTTACTCGAAATTCACATTTGCACTTGCTATCCGTTAACAGGTATTCTCTGTTAAATAATACAAGTGGTAATGATCTGTTAAAAAGTTGTGATACAATTTTGAAGGATATCGTTATTCATGTTAGTGACCTAGCTTGGTGCCACGAACCTTTTAGAATCTCTTAAGATCAAAGTTAAAAATAAAATTTATATTATTTTGCAATTTTCAAAACTTTGAATAGTGCATCACGAACAGTAGAGAAAAGTTAAAATTACCACACATTATGTTAAAAATACGAAACTGTAGCGCAGATTTAACCGTATAAATTGTTTTTATGTTCTGATCTAAGTTATCATAATAATATTACTAAATTTTACCACATTTACCAAATTTTAACACTTATAATAAAATAATATTTATTTGAAATCATTAGATCATCCTGGCATACTTAAAAATCATAAGTATGTCAGGCTTTCAGGAAACTTAAATACATTCCATTTCTTAATCTTCTCTAAATTATAACTTGCTGAACATTTTTTCCCTTTTATTTTTAATTAACGAGCTTAAAATGCTTACTCGAAATTCACATTTGGACTTTCTATCCGTTAACATTTTTTCTCTGTTAAAAATATTAATAGTAATGTTCTGTTAAAAAGTTGTGATACAATTTTTAAGGATATCATTATTCATGTTAGTGACCTAGCTTGGTACCCGAACCTCTTGGAATCTCTTAAGATCAAAGTTAAGAATAAAATTTATATTATTTTGTAATTTTCAAAACTTTGAATGGTGTTTCACGATCAGTAGAGAAAAGTTAAAATTATAAGTAAATTTTAAAATTTAAATGGTTGAAAAAATTAAACGTCTTGTTAATTTTTAAAATTTAATTTAATTTTAAAAATTTACAAGACAATTAATTTTTTTAACTATGTAAATTTTAAAATTTACTTATAATTTTAACTTTTCTCTACTGTTCTAATTAGTGTATCAAGAATTAGTGTATCAAGTTCTAATTAGTGTATCAAGTATTCTAATTAGTGTATCAGGAACAGTATAGAACACTGTAAATGAAAATTGGTTTTTATTACGAGATATTTAGAACTAATTAGTGTATCAAGAATTAGTGTATCAAGTTCTAATTAGTGTATCAAGAATAGTATAGAAAACTGTAAATAAAAATCGGTTTTTATTTTGAGATATTCAGAACTTTATGGCTTTTGAGTACTATTTATATAATTAACACACATTCACGTTATAATTATTTTTTTATATATGTAAATGTTATAAAACTATTGAGGAAATGGCTGCTTAAAGAAATTTATTTTAAATTCGAAAATTTTCGCAAATTCGTTAAGAAAACGTCTATAAATATCTAAAAATATTACATATAATACCTAATAAAATATATACTGGGTATTACATGTATTCTTATAGACTTAAAGTAGATTATTCAATATATCGATTCAATTATTTTTATAGGTGGATTTATATTGAACTTATAGATTTTATTTCTTTATAATACTGAATTGTAAAATAAATGGTTTGATTTTTTTTTCTTCTAATTTGCATATTTTTTGGAAGAACACTTGCATTTTATTAAAATTATGTTAAATATAGAAAAAGTAAACTTTTATTAAAGGGTGAAAAGAACCAAATCATATAAAAAAAATTATAATATTTGCGTCGCTTATTTCAAAAACATTTCTGCCTTATCTTTAGAATTAATTTTTCTATAAAAGTTAGAATTAAATATTAAAATCTATTGAAAAATTGTATTGAAAATTATTTTGTTGTTGGAATTTTCCATGGATTCTGGAACTGACATTTAAAAATTATTTTAAAAGAAAGATTATACTAAGTAATTATATTTCTATGATTTGATTGTCTATAACAAAGGATTAAAAATCAGGAAAAGTTATTGTAGAAATAATTTCATTGGAATCAATGCTCGAATTTTTATAAAAAGTATTATAAGAAAAAAAAAATTATTTTTAGGATTAGGCATGAGTTCTATGAAACAGTTCTGATACTCTAACATTTATACCCATTTGCTTATATTATTTAGTATGAAGTTTTAAATGACATTAACAGATTAGTTTCATTGAGATATTTTTTTAAAAAATAATATATAAACTCAATCTAACTCATTAACGTTATATTTTGTATGGAATCGCTGAACTTAGATTGAAATTTAATTGTAATTGTAATTTTTATAAACTATAGATTATTTTGTCTTAAAATAATAATTAATACCAAAATATGGTTGGCTTTATTAATAAAATTAAGTAATAATTTTATGGACAAAAGAGCGTAAATTTTAGTCTGTTAAATGTTTCTAGAAAAGCTGAAAAAATTAATACATAAGAATTCGAAACATCATGTATTCTAAATACATCAATATCAATACTAAACAAAACAGGATATTTTTAAAAATATCGGTCAAATAGTTCATTAAAAATATTTTTTCCGCCAAAGATCTATAAATTAGTACGAAAGAAGAATAATTTATAGGAAATTTAAAGTATTGGTAAACAAAAATTCCTCTTTCATAATAAAAAAAATAATTCTTAACGCTTGATACAGAACTTTAGTTTTATAGATCATTCTAAAAATTAAATGTAGGTGTTTAGGATTTTTAGCATAAATATAGAGGAGAATTTGGTTTTAAAAATTGCAAATACCACATACCCGATTTTTCTTTTAAATTAGAGTAAAAAAAATATTTCTTTGATAACGAATATAAACATAACATAAGAAAAATAATTTAAACAACGAATATTCACTGACACGTAGCAAACAAATAAACCGAAAAGTAATATGTTCTTGAAATAATATAATACAGTCTCTCATTTCCTTAGTAAGAACCTTGTATTAGTAGCAGTATGGTTTATTGGCGATCTTCAACACAATCCAATAGCGTCAGGAAAAGATTGCCTATGAATCTCGGTAAGATTTATCTAGAATATTTTTTTATTGACGCCCACGTTTGTCCTTTTTCACATACTAATATATTCCCTCGTGCATAA